GACACTTAAGGCAAAATATTCCTTTTGAACAGTTGTTACATGCTAAAAGGAATTCTGCCTTGGAATCAGATTTCAATCTGGCGTGTAGCAGGATGAGTTTACAATTTCAGAATCGCGGGTATCCACTTACCGTTGTGAATAATGGTATACAGAGAGTAAGGACAATTAATTGGGGAGAGTTATTTTCAACTAAGTGTAGGAAGAATAAGAGGAGGAGGAGGAGGAGATTGGATTTATATGCCAAACTTCACTTGGAGTCTCAGAGCGGCTTACAAATTCCTTTCCCTCCCCCTCCCCACAACACCCTGTGAGGTAGGTGAAACTGAGAGAGCTCCTTTGAAAAACACTCTTGAGAGACCCACTCTGAGAGAACTTGTAACTGACCCAAGGTCACACCAGCAGTTGCATGTGAAGAAGCGGTGAATCAAACCTGGTTTCCCCAGATTAGAGTCCACGCTCCTAACCACTGCCCCAAACTGGTTCAATGTGAATTGGAATTTACACCATGTGCACAGAGAATCAAGGCGATACTTTTGAAACACTGGCATATTGTCAGTGACATTCCAGGGTGCTCAGATGGTCTGTGTGTGGGGTTTAGGAAGACTAAGAGCTTTAGAAATATATTAATACGGTCTGATTACCTTACCCCTTTAAAAAGGAGTATTATATCCAAAGGAAACCATAAATGCCTGTCATGTTCAGTATGCCCACAAGCATGGGAGACAGATAGACTGACCTTGCCTAACTTTCAAAAAAGATTTAAATTGGTTTACCAATTGTGCCACAAAGCGGGTAATACATCTCATCAAATGTGAATGTGATCTCTTGTATGTAGGATTGTCTATGAAGGCTATTAGTACCGGTGTGATTGAACATAAATCCAGAATTAGAAATGCAGTAGAAGAGGCTCCATTAGAAGAAGAAGAAGAGGAGGAGGAGGAGGAGATTGGATTTATACCCAGCCCTTCACCACCCAAAGGTGTCTCAGAGTGGCTTACAAACTCCTTTCCCTTCCGCTCCCCTCAACAGACACCCTGTAAGGTAGGTGGGGCTGAGAGAGCTCTTAACAGAAACGGCTCTTTTTTCAAGAACAGCTCTTATCAGAACTGCAGCTTGCCCAAGGTCATCCAGCCAGGTGCAAGTGGTTCAGGGAATTACGACATGCTCCAGGTAAGACACTTGGCAGCCCTATTTCAGCCTGCTGTTGGCCTGGGTTATTTGCAATGTTCCCTCTAAGCTGTGGAGTCTTGTGAGCAAAATTTCTACTTTGTGAGCAACTGGCATTAAAGTTGTGAGTGAGTGATTCAACTACTGCATAAATTAATTTGTTCTGGAGCCATCCTTCCTGAGCGAAGACAAAAATGTGTGAGCCAGAGGCTAAAAAACTGTGAGCTAGCTCACACTAACTCAGCTTAGAGGGAACACTGGTTATTTGTATGCTGTTTTGCCATGGATTTAAATTGCCTTGACTCGGACACTGAGAAAATCCTGAGTGACAGGCTCCTACTCTCAACTGTGTCTGCATTTCAAAAGAACTGTCACATGTGTACGGGGGTTGGGATGCCCACGGATGTTTACTCAAGAGGCGACCTTGTTCTGGTGAAACTGCTTGTGCCAAACCCTGTGACACTTTGAGAACCGCTGTCTTTCGGCTTACGAAACTGTCTTTTATCTTACAAAAGATGGACTGGGGCTGGGGGAAGGAAGGCAGAGAGCCCGGAAACCATGCCTTGGAAGAGACGGCTTGAATTCATCTTACCCTGCTATCCCTTTTCAAAGAAAATTTACCAAAAGACACGTGGCTTCAAGTCCAAAAGTCGGAGACTTATCGAGGGGGACCCTCGCCAGTGACATAATGATGTAATGATGTCACCAGGGACGCACTGATGTCCCTCTCCATGCATGCAGAAGTGACATCAAAAACTCTAGGGTTTTACCATAGAGTTTCTGGAGAATGCTAGAGCGTCCAGTGTCACTTCCTGTTTAACCCGAAAGTCGCTTCCTGTTTAACCAGGGGCCAGGTGGGGCTTTTGCCCGGCAAGGCTTCTGATTGGCCATGAGAGGTTTGATTGGTTGTGCCAGTTGTCGTCGTTTTTTAAGGTTGCTTTGGCAGCAGCTGCCACCACAACACAAGGATCTTTGTTGTGTAAATGCACGGCAACTATTTGGTGGCTGGCTGCACCTTTGGTGGCAGCCGTTTTCGTGGATGTGCCCGCCATGTGGTGTCAGAATTCCAAAAGTGCCCACAGGTTCAAATTGTGTTTTACCCTTTATTTTATTGTTGCTTGTATCACTTTATGGCTTTGCTGGCTTTGGCGGTGATTTAAAACTTGAACGTTTGACGTGACAGGCCCCGTTTCTGAAGAAGGACATGCCTTCGACTTCAGTTTCTTGCAGCCAGCCTTTGGGGAACAGTCAGTTTTCAGCAGGGGTCTTTTTGTAGAAAAAGAGCTGCAGGAGCTTATTTGCATAAGGTTTGCTAGTGAGCTACTAGGCTATTAGCATAATAGCTCATTAGCATATGCCACGCCCTCTGACATCACCAGAAGTGATGTCAGAAGGGGAAGCAAAAGGGGGGAGGCATCTTCAAAAGGCTCCCCTTCCCTTCCCCAGCCGCCTGCGGGGGGGGGGGGGGAGTGAAGTTAAACCCTTCTCACTAGAGTTGGGCTGCAGAAGGAGGAAAGAGGAAAGGAAAGAGAGAGAGAGTAGAGAGAAGAAAGGAAGGAAGGAAAGAGGGAAAGAAAGAGAAGGAAGGGGATAAAAAGAGAGAAGGAAAGAGGGAAGGAAAAAAGAAGGGAAAGAAAGAGAGAGAAGGGAAGAAGGAGGGAAAGA